GACTTAGAAATTGTTTATCCAGGAAACTCTTCTGGATGATTTTGTGATCTAGAAAGCTTCCAAACGGAGTCTTTTAAGATCTCTTAGTAATATTTTGAGGTTATGGTCGAAAACACTATTCAAAAAAGTGGTTTTTAGAGAATTTCTACAGAAATATTGTGTGGAGTTGATTTTTGAGCTGTTCTAATGTGTTAAAATATTTACTAAATTACCCAAAGCTAAAGAATGGATGAAAGAACTCCTCGTCAAATAGGAAAGTGCATTAATTTTCTAATAAAATCACGTGAAACTGTTGCGCCTCTTCGACTGTCAGCTCCTTAGCAACACTGTCCGCGTCTGGAGATCAGAAAAACCTGCTCGTGGTCACACATTTTTCCCCTTGATGCTTTCTCTTCATCCGTGGGCCGTTCTATGGCAATGACAAAAAATTCTCCACTCAATTTGAGATACTGTGAACCATTTGAATATACACTTTCGGTATCTTCTTGGCGGTTGTTTGGCTTTTTCAGTGTGTAAATTTTAATTGACACATGAAATGATTAGAAACACGAGATAACGGAAGGAAGGGGGGAGAAAAGCACGATTTTTGGGTAAATAATTGGGAGCTTTTTCTCTTTCTCATTTGGCCTTTTTTTCCTCTCTGTCTTCGTCGCGATGACTCTTGTTGATTATACAATTTACAATTTTCTTAGTGTGACTCTGCGTTTGGTGTTAAATATTCAACGAGTCGCTGAACGTCTTAAAGACTCTTGTGCATGGATTGTTCTGTGGCAACTTTGCAAAATTCGTGTGTTTGCTTTCCATGGTGTAAAAATGAAAAGAGAGCCATCGAGAGCCGAAAAGACTGCTGGAGAGTCACGAAAGAGCCTCTCGAGGAGGATTTCTTGAAGAGAGAGAGAGAAAGACACTGAGGAGAATTAAGTGTGATCGATTGTGTGATTTATTTCACAAGACTCTCCTTCACAATCTCACGCAATATTCAATACACTCGAGTGACTCTCTTGCAGCTTAATCTCAAAGCATGGCATTGATAGAGGGCTTTTGCACACCTTCTTATCAGTGTAAAATCCACAAAAGAAACTGTCTGTGGATTACTTCACTTGCCATTGCACCTCCTTTTCACTCCCCGCGCGTGTCTTTTCAGTTCGTCATGGAGATTACACGCTCAATCACGTGAAATTGAGGCAGGAAAGATCTCTTCTCTGTCCTCTTCGCGTGCGCATGAAAATTTAATTGTGAGAAGGTGCACAATAAAAAGAAAAGAAAAAAAGAGACTGAATAAAGCATGTTGGGCAGCTTCATATCGAGATGTGGAGAACTTGTTGAGAATTTCTGGTATTTGTCTTTAAAATATATTTATTTAAATTGCTAAGATAAATGCTGAACACTCTTGAATTACTAAATAATTCATTATATCGCTCACCATTGAGGAATTTCTGCAGTCTCTCGGATATAAATTCCCTTTTTTTTTGTACACTTTCTGTGCAACTCACGAGAATTGTAGCGCCGAATTAAATTAATTCATTCACAATCTGCCTAAGAAATTGATTGAATTTTAAAGCAATTTATTAAAATTATCCATCAAGTCTCTGTCTTTCCACCCTTGTTCGCTTGGCTTTCTTGTCCGACGTGACGAGACGCACAAAAAAGACGAGTACTTCTTTTCACTCTGGCCTCTAATTCATCGTTATGACGATGTAAATGACGTTGATTAATTATGTTTCCACCATAAATGATAGGCGAGCACCAAGTCGCGCTTGGAGAGCTACTTAAGACAGTGCAAGAAGTCAAGGCGCTTCGACGCACTCTTCGAGAGTCAATAACAAATATTTGGATGCTGAATTTCACATGATTATTTCTCTTCAGGTTCATCAAGCGAGATTCAACATTTGTATCATTGAACTTTATTGGTAAAAACACAAGTATATCGTCAAGATACTTTGCGAAGGAGGGAGAAAAAACACAGTGATTAATAAAAACACATAAAACAGAGCAACGTTTTCAATTCAGTGCCGACGATTCATTAATAATTTTGAGACTCTGAGAAGTGTACGAAGCGAGAGTGTAAAAAAGAAACGCGAGGCACGCGGATTGAGCAGCAAAAGAGATGGACAAGAGGAGGTAAAAAATCGGGGGTCACATAAATAAATTTCATAAACTGCGCTGTCAAAATATTTAGTAGTAAAATATGAAGGAAATTTAATACTTACAGCCAGTAAAAAAGTGCTCAAAGGTGGGAATTAATTGGCCAGAATATTGAATAACATGCGCGAAATATGCAAAATTAACGATCAAGTATTGAGAAATTGTCATACAAAATAATCCCCAAAGAGCTCTGCAAATGCGAATTTCTCTCTCTCTCTCTCAAAACACATTGAGGTGTGTCGCAGATGTGTTAAGGTAGTTTGTTCAGCAATTTCGCCAGAAGAGCCGCTTTTCCCCGAAAATCCCATCCACCCGGGAAAATTAATTGGCTAGGAAAGTTTCCCGATGAGAAATTTACAAGTGGCACTCGAAAGTTTTTAATACCATATTTTGCTCAAGAGATTTATGTAGTTCTGAATACAAATTGCTGATAAAATGCCAGTTTGCTTTTGTCTGCAGCACTGCTGATTGAGGAATATTATTAAATGTGTGTCTACTAATTCAATTTTTCACCCAGACACTGGAAATATATGAACTTTTCAAGCTCTCGAGGCCGAGAAAAAAAACCTCAGCGAACGCAAAATGCTTAGTTTCAAAAGTTGAGCTTGATTTAGTTGATATTTTTGCTATTATCCGCTCAAATTTTAGCCATTCGGATGATACTGATGCGCACTTAAATACATAGATGTCGCTTTATGTAAAACCATGCCATTTTAATAATATACTTCGTGATTACAACACTCAAAGTTTAATTGTATTAATAGCGCCATGCAAATCCTTTCAAAAGTGAGACATTTACATGTTCTGACCCGACTTCCTGTTTTTCTGCTAAATTTTTATCAAAAAGAAGCTCAATATTTAGCGGAAAGAGCAGAAAATTCAGAAAATTTTGAAAATTGCTATTAAAATTGATGAAAAATTAGCTGACCATAGATAATAATCTTAGCAATATTTAGCTGAATTAACTGCTTTTTCTTTTAACTATTCTGGCTCCTGGGATCGTGAAATTTTGAACTGAGACTTTGATTTGAAATCAAACCGCCTCGAAAAACTGGTGGAGGAAAAAAAAAACGAGTTTGTCGGCAACTTTGTAGTGTTTTTGGCCACAATGAACATTCCACGATAGAGGGACATATTTTCTCTTCTACCGTCTTGTTTTCGATGGCTTTATATCGTAATTTTTATCTTAAATGGTGATGTTTATTGGCGCCAATTTCACTGTGAGAAATGAGGAATTAATGCTAATCACAATTTTCTCCAAACACACACACTTTATTGTGTCTCGCTTTGTGTTCCTCATCACACTTGTCGCACTGCCAGTGGACTACAATGATTTTCCTCTGGGGGGAAAATTGATATTTTGTGAAAAATTGCTTTGACGCTGCCTCGAGTGGCCTCTTGTATGTGCGGCAAATCAAAGGCGTCTCTCGATTGAGGCCTCCGAACAAGCGAATCTTCGACTGTGCGGTAATTGAAACGCTTCATTTCCTCCATATCGCGATGATTGTTTTTATTATTCTGCTTAGACATCATTTCTGTGGTGAAGAAGTTCTGTATTGACACACGATTGATATCAAGTCAAGTGTTTGTGGCTGTTCTTCGTGCCGCAGACATTTGAACAAATTGAAAATATTTGGCTTCAACACTTTGATTGATATTGCGGCGAATTTTGCGGAAAGGAATACCAAAAATGCCAACAAGTTTACAGAGTTTACATGAGAATTCAGTGGAAACGTCACTTGAATTGATAGAAGCATGCATTTTCTGCTTAAAGTCACTCTAGAGAGACACTTAAGAGGTGAAAACTTGGTTGAGAAATTGCTGAGAAATTCAGTGAAAACACACAATAGAAAATGATTTGAGGAAAAACCACAATAAATGCCCAATTTCTTGCGCCTCTTTCGCCGGCAATGCCTCGGAAAAGCTCTTGCGCTAGAAGGATTTCCCGAAGCGCGCGTGTGACTCTGCATAAGTGGGTGGAAAAGACGCAAAAAAGCTTCACTGGGCGAAAGTTCATTCGATGATTGATTGTTGTTTGCTCTGTTTGCGAATTTTCCTTCTTTTATTTATTGATTTCACTCTTCTCCACTCACCCCTTGGGCACTTTTCTCGTGTCTTCTGCGCACAGAATCCCACTTGGAAAAGCGGGGGTGGAAGAAGCCCCCAAACCCTCAGTCATTGTTGAAAGAGCTTACATAAAAATTACATTATAGCCTCGCATGATGTTATTTAACGTGTTCCTCTTCCTCGGTCACCCTCACAATGGTTCGCCGGGGTGGCATTTGCCAACGCGGGGATGAATTGAGTGGCGCACGAGGGAGAATGAGGCGAACTCATTGATTAAAATTTAATTATAATCACAATTGAGCCACCCACAGAGAGTGAATACCGTCAGCTTTCTTGGCACGGAAGTCGCAGAGTGTCGCGATATGATGGAGGCTCTCAAGGAGATCTGTATTTACTTTGAGTGTCTTTCGCTCCGCTGTGGAGAATCCTCAAGTCTCTCTTGGCAGATCACTTTGCCACCCTCGCGCGCGATATTCCCAGCCAAAGTTACACAATCAATAAAAAGCCCGAGCAAATGGTGTGAGATTCTTGTTTCAATTTGCATATATTATAATTTTCCATGGTTTTCCAATGAGCCCAGAGATTGAATTTATTAGCAGTGAAAGCCACTGTGAATGTGAGCAGCGAAAAATTGTGTGTTCAAAGTGAATTATTGATCCTCTCGAAATGTACACCATAAAATATTCACTGGGCCAGAATGCCTCACATTTTTCGTGTGGAAAATTGCATGAAATCCTGCCACACTTCAGAAGAGTATAGTCAGAATAGAAAATATCTTGTTTACATACCTATTTAGAACAACATTTTGCTGTCAAGCTGCTGGTTTTGCTTCGTGACCTGGAAGAGGAATAAAAGAAGGTTTTTTTAGTAAGATATTACAATGGATTTCATAAGGAATGATTTAATTCTTTGACTATCAATCGTCGCAAGTTTCATGAGGACTTTTCTTCATGTCACAGAAATCACGACAGTTTTGGCGAAGAGCAACAGGGTGTGGCGCAAATCAAATCAGATGTGCGTGTTTTTCTCCAAAATTTATGCGAATGACAATGCATTAATTAAAAAATTTTCAGAAAAGAAACACTTGAACACACGCGCTGGCAACTAAATGGTAATTTATTGTCTGATGCTTTGTGATTTAAAGCTCTCATTAAAAGTTTACGGCTGTCGTATATGTACATATGTAGTTCGCAAACGGAAAAATCACTCTCCGCGCTTTGTATGAGATTATTTTTCAAAATGTATATATGCAAAAATTGTGTTCTTGTTCAGTTTATTCAACAACAAAAAAAACAATCTGGCAAATATGAAGTTAAAAAAAAACTACATTTTTAATTGAATACGAATTGAGTGTTGTTAATAGAGTCGTGTGCATTGAGTTTTTACTGTCGTGGAATTGGATTTGCAATATGCCATTCGGAATGGAAATTCGCTTTGGAATTTTTCATGTTTTTGATAAATTATACACGATATTCTTTCTGTGAAAATTGTGAGGCAAAAAGGCGCGTGAACATCAGAGGATTCCGGAGACATTTCTGGGCGACATTTATAACTCCCATGTGACAAGGAGGGCGAAAAGAAGGCAAAACAATTCTTTAGGAGAACATTTAAGCGCCAAATGAGGCGTCTCAAGAATCTGACATGAAATTGCCACCGCCAAGAGATTTCTCCCGCCAAAATATGCCCACAAAGTCAGAATGGGAAATTTAATTTATGACTTTTGCCTTTAATTTTCGTGCTTGTCTAAATGTTTTTTCATCTCTTACTGTCTGTAAAAAAAAAGGAAATTTGCTAAAAGCTTCAATTGAGAAATGACCAGAAAGTCTGGAAATCTGGACTGTAAAAAAAAACGAGGCTTTTGCATTTTGCAGTTGATGCCATAAAAAGAACCGCATGGAAAAGTCATTTGCAGTGCAACAGAGGGAGATTTTCGATTTTCATGGCTTGAATATTGAATGTAAATATATAGAAATCGCATGAATACATTTCGATACATTTTATTCCTCATCGATGGTGGTATTTTTCTAAAAATACTCACGCTGAGTGCAGAACAGAGAGCAAGAAGTAATAAAAGAGCTGCAGAGGAACGAAACCGCAGAAATGGCAGATAATAAGAAGGAATGGGTGAAAATGTTTCCCACTTTTTGTCAATATGCGTGGAAAATACGGGGAAAACGCATGCATTTACATCGTATTTGAAGGTGAAAATGTGCAAAAGTCCACATATAGTGATGCCTCTCAATAAAATTCACTCTCGCCCATCATCAGAGTTTTTTTTTTTTTTCATCTTGTTTGTGCGCGACTCGATCATCACTCAGCGCTGTCATATAAATATAGCATGCGCGGAGTTATGATGTAGAGTCTGAAATACAAATTGCTGATTGTGGTTTTTCATATACTATTAATAGGTTTTTCGAGTGCGAGTCATATTGGTGGAAAAAATCCCTCCCACATCATCTCAATTGCCTCCCAATGATTTTTTCTCGTGGATCTTTTATTGCTTATTGAAATACTTTTCACTGTGGTTTGTTTCCAACCAACATCGCGAGCAGACGAGGAACAATATTTACACAATATAGCACAAGAGATCTCTCTTCAGGATATCATTGGAGAAATTTTATAGTGTCTGCACTTTTTATGGCGCTGATATTTTATTCATCCGCCAGCGAAAATGCACAAGAACACAAGCCAAGAGAATCCCATCTTGACGTATTGTAATTCAATTTTACAGTCACGCAATTGAGTGCGCGCTTTACGATGAAAATTATTATTTTGTGGTTTGCATTCATATTTATTTATGCAAGAGATTCTTAGCGGGATGTCTAAGATTGTAGAGAAATCTGGTGTGTCATTCAATAACTGGAATTGTTTAGCAATTTTGGACATCTTAAGTTTGTCATTCAACGTCTAGAAGTCGAAATTATCGTTGATTTTAAATTTATTCATACACTTCAGTGCAAATGTTTCATCAACTACTAAATAATTCACTTAAAGAAGCGCGAATAGCATCAAATTGTCGCTCAATTTGCAGCTTAAGAGCCCCGCTTTTCCCTACAATTCGATAAGGAAAGCTCAAGAGACGCAGTTTTGATCCCATTATGCGCATTCACAGGATGTTTGGCGAAGCAAGAAATGTGATATGTGTTGGCACAAACAGTTCATAAACTGCATAAATAATTACTATTGATATTGTATTAATGCAAGTGCACTTGAGAAGACTTTAGCTGTGCTGCTGCAACATTTGATATTATTTATTTAGAAAATTTTCTCTATGAGGCAAGACTGTGGCGTCAATTGGATCAAATAAATTTAAATGTATTTATTTGTCTTCAAGTGGTGTCGGCGCCTCTGCATTCCGACAAAATTTATCGAATTGATTTCTCGTCTGTCGAGGGTCATTGTTTTCTCGTGGCGAAGTTAGTTGTACAAATAGCTCAACAAAGTGCTCGCGCGTTGGCAGAAAGATGACTGATTGGATATTTTTCTATCTGTTCTACAAGCTCACAAATATTCCATCTCAAACACCTTTTCCACAGGGCGTTATTTACAATCCCGCACTGATAAGTTTCTGGGGAGTCGAAGGTGGGGTGAAGAGAGCGCCATATCGCATCTAATCGAGGCATATTTATCAGTTCCACCTTCCTTTGGAAACGGTAGTCGCTGGGCTGAAGAAGTATTTTCTTTCTGCCTCAGATCCACGATAAGGCATTTTAGTGGAACTCAACGGCCATATTCTGTCCTCTCTCAGCCCATTTTCTTTGGTCCCACATTCAAACACTCTCGGGGCATATTTAATTGAGTCATTCATCACAATTGAAGGTGTGCTCGCAAATTGCGCGCTGCACAGGAAATATCAATAGATGTATAAATTCAATTTGAATTACAAAATCTTCAAGGTTCTCCGCACAATGTTTCACTGCAGATAGAATCACGTCCTAGTGAAGACAGTTTCCTTCTTAAATACACCCTTTTTTCTTCAATTTCTCCTTGGATTTCTTGCCAAGAAAATTTTCGAATTTTCTCAAAACAAAATGTTGATTTCATGCCTGTATTCGTGGTGTAAATAAATAAATAGGCGCAAGAATGTAAAATTGGGCATAACACAAACTTCTCCATCGATGAAGATGCTGAAGGCGCGTATTTGGCGCTATTTTTACTCAACCATCAACACATTCAGTATGTATTTCTCGAGTTATTTCTTCCTTGTAATAAAATAAACACCAGAACTCAATATTGTATTTCATGTGTGTGTGTGTTTTCTTCTGCAACTCATCCTTCGGCCCTTCCCCAGTATTGGTGAGGAAATCAAATAAATACAAAACAACTTTTCTTGCGGTCTCGCATTTCCCTCAACTTTCCCTCTCCGCGCACCTTTCAGCGTCTGATGGGAAAATGCGTGGTGATTGAAGATGGTTAATTTGTGTCTATGGACATGTCTGTTTTTTTTATTTCATCCAACACACAGATAAAATTATGTCAATTTTCCGTGATTTATTGTTCAAACACACCGTTGAAAACACTCTCAAACGCACGAAGAGTTTTTCCTTGATTTCTCGCTGATGTTCTTCAAGGGAGTGAATTATGGGCTGAGAAATGGTGTACAAAACATTAATCCATCTAATTCAATACATTTTGGTTGTGTTATGAAAATGAATAGAGATTAACTTAATATATTCAGCATGATTTCTTGCATGTTGCCAATAATTCGCCCTCAGTGTAAGTAAATTCATGCATCTTATCTCTGCCTTGGTCGTGTTTGTCTTGGCAGAAGAAGAAGGAGAAAAAAAGGGCAGGTAATTGAGCATAGAATCTAAACATAGCATTGTGTGTTTTCGAGAATTTGCTAATATATTCTCGAGAAATTGGGCAATTGCCTGAAATTTGAAAGATAAAGATGAGGCAACATAAATGAGCATGATTTTGCGGTTGAGAGGCGCACAAACAGTGGGTCGTTTAAAGTTATTGAAAGAAATATTTGCTCAAACAACTCACACACATATTAAATGTTCACCCAAAACAATTTACTGCTCGATGTGATAAGACCCGTAAATTCACCCGGGAATTCGCTACGAACATCATAAATTACATAGTGAGATCGATTGCGATTACATGCTCTTTTTACACTCAAAACACACACACACACACACATGTTCGCTGTTTCTGTGTGTTCGTGTGCTCCAATTTTATTCCTCCTCTCCTCAAATGGCCTCTTATCATGATAAGAGTTGTCGTCGATTGGGTAAATATTCGCTGCCTATATGTTTTTGTGTGCTTTTTTTCGCCTCGGGTTTAATGTACATTTTTCTCGGTGGTGTTGAAATGGAAGGCGACAGAGTGGTTTAAAATTATATAATGATGATTTAATGTGCCAATTGTTTTATCGTTTTATTCAATTGAAAGATGGAGAAGGAGTAGCAAAATCCCGGAAGCATAAATAGTTCAATCGTGGTCAATTGAGAGATTTCTGAAGAGGATCTCAAGACAATCGCAAGACGGAGGAATAAAAAGCAGGCTAAGTGTGAGCAAAATGAAATATGTATAAATTGCAATCATCCAGAAAGATGTTATTGCTCTTGAAGTGTGTGACGATAATTTTAATGCCACTCTATTTTGAGTATTTATGATGTGGAAGAGAACATTTGTCACTTAATAGGAGACCCTCCGTCTCCTCTTCGCCATTCGCCTCGTGAAAGTGTCTCGTAAATTTTCCCCAAAGCGAGAAAACCAGCGCGAGAGTGAGACAAAAATGTGGCGCAAAATGTCACAACAATTTTTTTCCTCACTCCATCTCTGAAGTATCTTATGAAAATTGCTCCGCCAGTTCACAATTTGATGGGATTTTTACAACTCCACAAGCACCCCATCAATGACTCTGAGAGCAGCAACAAGAAAGCCAATTGGAAAACCACCTCCAACATTCCTCTTCTGATTCATCTCTCTCTTTGCGAGAAATCTTATTTCACAAACCATTTGATTGTGGATAGTTTTTTTTTTTGCGAGGCACACAAAAAAGTGCCACGAAAGTTTTCTGTGAGAAAACTTTTGTGTCGTGAAATGACTCCCCAAGTCACGATATCCCTCAATTTGAGATTTGGGTGTTGAGGGCGAACTTGGGGGTGCCGATGAAAGAAGTACAGCGGACTTTAAGTGTTGGGCCTCGACACGAGCAAGCGAGCTCACAAAAGAAAACCAATGATATTTTGCCCAGCTGAATGGATCGAAAGGAATCTTCTTGGCGAGGAACTTTCTTTTCATAGGAAATTGTGAAGGAAATATGAAAGATATTCAGCGTTCTGCATTTTTTCCTCGTCATGCATGATTTCTACTGTCTTTTGTAGTGGATTAAGTGGCAGAACTTAGAATCAACTGATTTATATAGAAACTTTTCTGTGTTTTCCTTTGGTTTTGTCACTCTAAGGAAGTTACCCAACCACGTTTGCTAGGGATTAACTGAGCATATTGATCTGAGCCCTGATTTTCTTAGTCGTATTTCTATTTAATTGTGGGATTAAAATGGTTTCAGTCGAAAAAACATTATTAAATTAGTAATGACGAACTTTGGAACACTGTAATGAGCATTTTTCCTCTTGTTGAAGAAGAAAAATCTCTTCTTAATTGAGCCACAACCTCATCGTAGTGCAATTTCACACTAACAGTTTCAAAAGGATCTTCATTAACCCATTAAGGACGAGTGTGTCACATTTGTCTCATAAAGAGAAAACATTTAACTATGCAAACCCACAAATTTCATTTACAATTTAAGTATTACAGAGAGATATAGAGTTTAGTTTAGTTCAATAAATTAACTCCGACACTTTCAAGTAAACACCCAGAATTCTGTTCAACAGACAATTTCACATTAATATTACTGCAAGCTATCTCTGTTGCTTCTTGATCTTTGCATGGTAATGCGTCGTGTTTAATTAAAATTGTGGCATCTTTTCGAAAATAAAGTGACACCATTAACTGGGTTGCTAGGCTATCTACGGCGTAGATCATCATTCCTACCCAATGTCTTCCCCTCGACACCCTGTCTGACGGGTCATCCCCCTTTTTTTTCGGCATGACGACGAAGGGAAAAACTTCCACTTTGCCCAAGACTTTGCCTCAATTTGAGACGAAATACATTCATGGCGAAACTTGTCCCCAGAGATTCAAGTGAGGAGATACACAAAACAGGCTCTCAAGATGGAGAATACAGGGAAGTTTTGGAGTTTATGCTATCACACTCTCGAGGAAACAAGACAAAAGCAGTTGTGCTAATTAATTTGGATAATGCGTATATATCTGTGATTTTAGGCACGAGAATCAGCCAAGTTCGCAGCTCAATTTAGCTGAAGACTGAGAAATAGTTTTGAGAAGTGAGAGTTGCTGTGGAATTTGTGGAAGTGGCACCGCAGGAGTCACTCGCAGGACACTTTTGCACACTTCCCAGGAACGAGACATTCTCAAGGTGTTCCCACTCTATTGCCTGGGGTTTACAACCTTCTGCCAGTGTCTGGTCTTGTTTTAACTTTTTACTCCGTCTCTGGGATTTATGACAGGGTGAGTGAGAGAGAGAGAGAAAAGGGGAGATTTTCGGTGGCTTTAAGAGGGAAGATGTCGCCTCTTTAAGCTCTTCCCCAAACGCTTGTGCTGTGAATTCGTAAAATGCGCTCACATTTTGCTCTCTTATCAGTTGTGTGTTGAAATAGGAACTTTCCCTCCTCAGACCACTTTTCTCTCTCTCTGTGAGATTTAAACTTTGCGCGCCTCACCGGCTGAATTCCTCAGATTCTTGGGACACGATAAGAGACATGAGAACGGATTCTAACTCGTCGTTTTCGCGTGCGAAAAATCCCATGTAAATTTATCAAAAAAAAAAACAACATTTGCCCTCGTGAGGAAGAGATTCTCGCCCCCAAAATGCGCCTCAAGTGTCGCGCGAGTTCAGATGTTGGCTTTTGGGAAAAGTGCCTGATTTTTATTGCTTACCTCAGCGACGATGTGTGCTGCGGAGTCGAAGTGCTTTCCTCAACATATAGAAAACAATTTCCACCCAGGATTTTCCCTCGTGTCACAATGCCAGGCGTGTGTGTACAGCCGAAATTCCAACCCCCGGCAATGTCGGGAGACGCGCGCGGTGTGTTGTATTTTGGGGTGCACAAAATGTATAGTTGGGCTTTTAAGAGGGGTTGGAAAATAAATCGATTTTACTTTCAGTAGAATTGTCGCTCCCTCGCCGGCTTCTTATCGGGAAATACTTTCGCGCAGAAACTTCTATATATATATTGTTTGATTCACATAAAAAATTAGACTGTTTTGGCTTCTTGATTGCTCAGCACGAGCTTCGCGGGGGAATTTTCTGCTGGCTGATTTTCTTTTTTTTTTTTCCTTGTTATTTTCCCCGAAAAGGGCTCCACAAATGTTGCAACAGAGAGACTCTTCACTACCACCGCATTTACATTTGCTTTTTATCACTTTTCACGTGTGTGTTTATCTCGGAAATTTATCTGGTTATATAGAGTGTTGTATCCAAGAATACACAATTTCTGCCTTTTCCACCTCACGGACAGCGCGTAATTTCTGTCTTGTGAAACTGCGTGTTTCTCAATTGGGGAATTTCACTGTGCATAGAACTCTCTGGATGTGAGGCTCAGCACGCGGAGTCAACTGTGTGTGATTTTCCACTTTTCGCGAGAAAAACTGGAGATTTGAGGTTTGATTCTCGATTGGTTGTCAAAATGAGCGCACCGCGAGCGAAAAGCACCCAAACGCCACAACACTTCTCACAGAACTGACTCGGTGGAAATGTGACTGGCGACAGTTGAGTCTCGAGTGTTTTCCTCTAAAGTCCGGTTTTTCAGCGTCAGACAGAGATGACACGCTGTCGCGCGCTGTAACGCCCGACAGATGACGGGAGAGTGCGAGGGAGATGACAGTATGGCGAGAGAGTCTCTGAATCATGAGGGGAGCAGGTGAACAACGTCTGAAATCGGTCTGCAATCGGATTCAGTCGCAGAATCAATATATTATGTGTCGTTTTGCTCTCTTTCGCCCAACTGACGCTGTCTCGCTCGCGTTTGCAGGGGTGTGAAACCCACGAGCGTCTGCCGTTCAAGCGGCCAAACCCCTAAGCCAGAGCGCTGGCAGGGAGCCTGGCTCGCGGACAAGCTGAGGCGCGCCTGGCGAGGCGACGAAAAAAAGAAGAGCACGCCATACCTACAGAGATATGGAAATCACAGGAACAAGAACATGAAGCAATTCAGTGGATGATTAGTCAATCTCAGTGCACATGATGGTAGCTCGTTAGCATTTCTTTTTGCTTATTAATTCACAATCGCCGGAACACCTCCTCGGGATGCTCCACGGCTCATCAGGAGGTGGAACGAATTTTTGCGTGTGCATGAAATGTAATGCGAGGAGGAATTTGTCAATTGGTTAATTGCAGAGCACTGAAATTTCAATTGACAGAGAATTTTTGGGGGATGTGCCCAAGGCAAAGCGTATCATGTTACAGCAGCATAATTATGTCTCTTAATTTGCAGTGTGAGCTAGCTCTTAATCGCTGGTTCCTGTGTTGGACATATGAGACTTGCTAGATGCTCTGGATTAAAGTAAATTTAAGCAAATTATGCTGAGCAAATTGATCTGAATTAATTTTCTGTGCAATTTCACCTTGTGCGGTTAAAAGAACACAGATAAAAATGGTTTTAGGCTTGAAATTACATCTATTATTAATTTGTGCTAAAAATTGTTTGACAATTTGTAGCTTCTTGGGGTTAAATTAAAGGATTTCTTAGAAATTCCTGAGTATTAAAATCTAAACGGAAGTTTTTCCTGACTCTTCATGATTTTTTAAAAGATCCTTGTTTTGTTCTGGAGGTTAGAATCCACGCTAAGACGGCGATGGACGCGCAAGTATAAAGGTGATGGAATGACGAGAAAAGAAAATATAATTGCTTGTAAAAACAGAATTATAACTTAAGAAGCGACATTGATAATTGAACAGCAATATAATGTCTGACATTCTTTACAATCTGACGTTTTTGAATTCTGAAAAGTTTCCATTCAAAGGATAGAACTTTCCTTTATATTTTTTATAGCCTCCAATCAAGTGTTTGTATTCAAACATGCAGAAATGCTTTGTGCGAAATTGTAAGAGTAACTCGAATGAAGCACTCAAGTGCTTTATTTTCCATGAAATTGACGAATGTGCGAGATAGGAAAAATGCAAGAAAACTATTTCTCTCGTGTGGGTCGTGCTATCTCACTGGGGAATCTCTCTGGAGTTGTGTTGAGGATCCTTTTTTCTGTGTTGTGCGTCCTCCACGCTATTTAATGCTCGAGTCCCAACACCACGGAATCTGACAAAATCCACAAATGCTATTAACTCTGAGTTGACATTTCTGTAATTGTATGAAGAAGGAACGAAAGGGATTTCCAGGCAAAAAGGAGCAGAGTGTGTCCAGTGGTGGAGAGAAAAAAACAGCTTGAAGAAGGACTCAGAGGATGGGCAAAAAATGTCAGGACATGCGGTGATGGAAGAGGGAATTATTCAAAAAGAACAGACTTCAATGCACTTTCGAGGCATATTTTCCTACCTGGAGGAATAAATTTTTTCCCAACTTGGCAATATGCTCGACACTGCTTGAGTCTTTCTTCGTATTTTTACTGCGGCCTCTGGCGTGGGTTTTGACTGTGCGAGAAGGAGGAAGAGAAAATAAATTTTATGGAAATCTGTCCTCTTTGACCAAAACACACACACACACACACTTTGAGAGTTGCAATGCTAGGAGGAATTGTGAACGAAGAAGTGCAGGAGTTTTCTTGCTTATCTGCCCATGTTTCTCTGCCACAGCGAGAGAGTGGGTGACTTTCTGACTCTGAGCAGAGAGCAGTAAAGATGATGAAAATGACTGTGGCAATAAAACAATTTCCCATTTAGGAACTTACACCACTTTTTTAGCACTCTTGAGAGGGTGAGAAGCAGTCTATAAATCATGAATATGGGACGTGAAGTATTCTCAAATTGTCTCAGAGTCGCAAGAACTCCGCGGTTTGTCTTCGGCGGAAAAGGCGAGCGTCCTTCGCCAGCTGAAGCGAATGTTATCTAGTGATTCCGAGTAAGCACAGAAAAGATCCACAATTAGTGTGAGAGATGCATAAGAAATCTTTCAATTTGCACAGCAGAGATTGATGGCAAATTGAAAAGCTCATCTGCATAGTCGAAAGTGCAGTTTAATGGTTATTTGCCGAGGGTGGAAAGCGCGGATAAACGCCATGATGACGGAAAAATTCACCATGTGTACAGAGCAATCAATACTGAGTTAAATTCCCTAAACGTCTCCCCGGTGAAGGTAGTAAAATATGGATTTATTGATTGGTCAAACCGTGCTGGAGAAGAGACAAATATTTATCTGCGATCAGTTCATGCATTGTGACACAGAATGGAAGAGAGTCATCCATTGAGGTTATCTGGATTGGAGGGTTAGTATTTCCACTGGGTAGATTGAAGAAGAGGAAGATACGATCAGGATCGTGAAGATCACAGAGACGGTTTTGTCTCATTATTTTCGGTGATTTACGGCATCGTTGGGTCATTTCAAACGTGAGTTTATTGGCTTGAACAAGGCATAAAGATTCTTATGGCTGCGTGCTCATAAAAAACCACGACTTAGGACATAAATTTTATTGCATTTTCATTCTTTCGCCTTTTTCTACATCTCGGTGATCTTCTTTCACAGCTCCACCAGCGCCAAGGTCGCACACCACAAATTGTTTATTGATTCTTCCAGTTGAAGATCATACCGAAATGTTTGCCATTCTCTGCCAGTGCACGAAGAGGAAGTGACGAGAATCGAGAATCATTTAATTGCGCTTCACTGTTTGTTGTCCATTTTTTTTCTTTATGGGAAACGATATATTCAAACAACCCTCAGAAGATTGTTTTACAAGAATTCATATTAATTTGGTGGGATTTGTGTTTAGATGCATATCTTGTGTCGTGCTTAATTAAAAGAATCGGAAAAATTTGGTTTCTGTTGATGCGCCGCTATCTTAAATTAAATTTATGCTTTCTAAAGTATAATATCTAAAGTACATTAAATTACCACCAGTGGCGCAAGTGTAAATGGTGTTTCAAATGAATATTAAGAGATTCTGAGCGTATTTGTATTAAAAATTGCATTTCGATTCTGTTTAGTATGCAAAAACTAGCAATATTCTGTGACGCCATCAGAAGCGCCGCCATCTTGGATCGATTTTGATAACCAGTAAAAATTACAAGACACTTGTATTTGCCAAAAATTGGGTTTTACCACCAGTAAAACTCTGAAAAACTACGAAAACTGACGAAAACTCACAAAACTAAATCTTGTAGTTTGTTAATCACTCCTAGAGGCGCTAGAATCGAAACATTGCCTGACTCTGTGTATCTCCGGGAAATCTTGTTGCTTGTTAACACGTGACGACGGCAAGAGAGTGAAGTAGGATAATTAAATCCCTTGTGTGACGATTAAAATAAATTTATTTAGCAGCTTTTGAGCATCTTATCGCGGGCAATGTGAGAAATATTTAATTTCAATTAAATGCGTTGACATATTAACAACTGCTGGAGACTCTTTGGGAGCTGTTTTCCCCATCTAACTGGCACAAAGTGTAATTTCAGAGCGTGTTGATTGCTTTATTGACTGTCTATGGTGTATCGAGAGGAAATCACAGGGACGGCGAGTTTTCTTTCTTCTCTTTTTTCCCAAAGCATTTCCATCGACAACGTCGCGGGTTTTTCTTTGCGCGCCGCGGCAAGCGAGAGATCGTGTGTGTATAGAAAGGAGGCATTTTCTCTCAATTGGCTGCATTTAAAGTAAGCCAGAGATAATTTAAAATGCATAATAGTCTCATGTTAGATTGCCAATTGGATAATTATCATAATATATCGAGAGCTACTGGTTAGTGTTCAATGAACCACTCGAATGAAATTATGGCCAGTGTTTATCTTTCCAGAGACTTTTTCTCATTCTCCCAGCAATTTTGCTGGCATCCCAAGACGACTCGTGCACTTGTGTGTTCGCAGTGCTGCGGGAAAAATTATCAATCATGAGGGTCTCTGGCAAGGGGGAGATAATATGGTTAGAAGTGGTGTACAGCTCAGCGGAAGTGAAAGTGTACAAAAACCCTTCAATCATCCTTTCCTACGATGCTTCTTTTATTCAAAAATTACTTCAATTACTCCGAAACAGACTACAAATTTCATGAACTGTTTGGAGGTGTTGTACAAGTTGAAGGCATATCATCTCCCCCTTGGTTTCTGGGTGGGTTTTGCTCTCCAAGAGTGCACTCTTAAAATTACCCAACATGATTGATAATGCATAATCAGGCATCGAGAGAGAGAGAGAGGCAAAAGAACCTTCTCAACCGCCCATAATGCAGAGCATAATTGGCATTGGGATAATCACAATGATACGTGCTCCTTCGTCGTCAATTTTTCTTCTGCTTGACCGCGTTTCTTGGACACAAAATCACCGCTGCGGGTCATTTTCTGACGGTGAAAATGGGTGCACTTTTCCATTTGTGTGTGCACGCGGGGCTGCAAAAGGAAATGTTGAGTCTCTTAATTGCACAAAAGCCAGTCTCAATATGATCAACATAAATCTCACTAATTAGTTTTGCTCATAATAGCAAATCTACTGACAAGATTACGGTGAGGTGTGACACTGTAAGTCCATTAAAATGCCTTCTTTTTGCCTGACTCTTGAGATTATCTTGTTAGGGAATTTAATTCCTAATTTGCTCACTCACTTTGCTTCGGCGAAGTG